CATCCATTAGCAGCAGGATAATTTCATTGATTATTTCCACTAATCAGGTTCAAAAAACATCAGCTCAACTCGATACTTGAAAGCTACCTTGCAGTGTAGTCACCAGGGATCCTCGGCGCCCGTGGGGACTATCGTCCAGCGCAGAGGCTGCGGCGTTACCGGTCTTGCTGACCCGTTTGCCAGATGGCGAGTGGTATTCTCAGAATTTAAGCGAAGCACAGTGCTGGGGCAATCTTACTGCGACCCACAGCATGGGGAGAACAGCCAGTGCACTTAAACAGATGGATCTGATCTAAGAGAACGGTCGTTGCCCAATTTCCTCTAAAAAATGGTTGAATTTCTCTCTCCATCTTAAATGGTTAAAAAAAAAAAAAACAGAAACTGGTTTTCTTTTTCTCTCCCGGCATACTTGCATAACTGCAAGGACCCTGGCGCTTTTTCCTAATTGAACTGGATTTTTTTTTTTTTAAGAAAAAAGAAATCTTATATTTTAATGGATAAAATTTATATATTTTAAATACTATATTTCAACAGATTGACACTTTCGTTTTGAGAAATCTTATAGCAATGATTCCATAATATATATATCTATCTCTGTATCTCCTTAACACACAAACTACTGGATGTTTAAAGTCGTACCTAGGGCTGGCTAGACCTGGCCTGCTCGTGGGCGATGGCTTTCTGCCCTCTTGTGCGCCACAGCCTCCTTCGGTGCTGAATGAAGCCGGCGCTTTTGACCCAAACTGAATCCTGCTCCTGTACCCAGCTGTGAATTGGAAGGAAATTCAGTCATTAGAGCCTTGACCAGACCTAGAAGAGCGGCGCAGAGACAAATAGCGGTGGCCTGGATCCATTCTTTACAGTGAAATAAGCTCAGGAGGGAAACCCACAGCTTTCTCTCAGAATTCATGCTGTTTTTCCCCAACATTTTGAGCTCAAGCGTGCACTTCCCAAGTGCATTTCAATTTATAATTATTTTTACAGATCCCCTTCTCCCTGCCCCTTTCCCGTGGTTAATCCCTTGAGCCCTAATCAGCCTTCCCTAAACGGTTTTCTTCTTTCTCGCGGCGCTTGTATGAGTTTCAGCCAGGCTTGGGCTGCTGAGCGCTCTCCGAGCAAGCCTACACCACAAAAAAATAGATTTAAATGCTGAATGTATCCTTTCTTTCCCTTCTTAAAACAGATTTCAGAGTCCAACGCACCAGGACCAAGTGTCTTAACTATCTTATTTTTAAAACATTACCTAAACGTTTAGGTTTTTGTGTTTTAATCTCCTCTTTCTAAATCCAAGCTGGGCAGAAGTGCGGGAGGCACAAGCTGGAGCCTGGTCCCAGCCAAAAAAACCTTCACGGGGCCCCCTGTGCAGCCCCAGCCTCCCAAACCTTGCCTTCACCGGGCAGTCGGCTCCCCCCAAAATAGAGAGGCCACGTCCCGGCAGTGCTGCTTGGCTTCCTGAGCATCCCGCACAGTCCATTGCATCCACATCGAAGGAGACCTTTGGACGTGGCGTTACCATCACGTCGTGGAAGCGTCGCAGCAGCTTCCAGTAAAACATCAGGGTTGGAATTTTTTTTTCTCATGAGATTCGTTGCCCACGGGTTTTTCGTCTGACGAAGCTGCTGGCTGCATTTCTACATTGCGTAAGGACTGGGGAAAACATGGGTCGTTTTCCAGCCGGCTCACCAAGACCCTCTCGTCTTCCTGAGCGAGCAGAGCGGGACTGCCCTCAGCGAAAATCCACCCGAGGAGGTGTTGAGTTCGAGACTCGAGGCGATGTGAAGCGAGGATGAATGTTTGATTAATTTAACACTCTGTAAGTTTGTGTAAGCTTGCACAAAACATAATTGTATATAATTATACTTCAAAGAGCAGGAATTCCCAGCCTCCACCCTTTACAGGTCAGGAATGACGCTACCTTTGCCAGAAATAACGCCACCGAGAAGAAAAATGCCTCTTGATGAACGGTGGATGCAGAATAAGATCTGCAGAGGCTCTAAGATAAACCAAGTATTTATTCACAATTTTATGAAAGCAATTTCTAACCCTCCTCCGTTCTGCAGCCACCACCGTCTCTCCAGGATGAAGGCAGTCCTTGCCGGCTGTGGGACAAAATCCTTCCAAAATGTGAAGCTGTCTTCTCTTGGGAGAAAAAAAAAAAAATTAAAAAAAAAAAAAATCAGGTCAAGAGATGATTGCTCTGCCGGCAGCGCTGTAGGGCCTGGGGTTGGTCTGACGACAGAAGGACCATGTCTGCCAAAGATGCCACCGACTCCAGAAAGTTGCTTTCTAACCCCCCAGAGCTCTCTGCCCGGGGAAAAGCTGTACGGAAAAGTCCGTCTTTGGAGTCAGTGAGATGAGATAAATGAAGGAGAAGTGCCAAAAGAAGGGAATCATGCCAGATGATTGTATAATGTTGTTCTATATTGTCAGTATTTTTTTTCTTCCAATGCTATTGTACATGCAGTGCACAGTAGTCATGAAGTGTAGCTTGAACAAGCGCTTCTTTGTATTTTTCTCAATGAAAGCAAAAAGGGGAGGTTGAAGCCTTAAAGACTATCACTGATTTTAAAAAACAAGCCTTTAGCGATGCTCCAAGGACAAACCCCAGGGCTCCACCTGAATCCTCCAGCAGCCCTGTGCCGTCTCCCAGTTGTCCAGAAAAAAGTTAACAAGGAGCTTGTCCTGTGCACGGGGGGAAGCATTTGACGAAAACCTGTCCCCTCGCGCCAGTTGGGGGCCCCGAGACGAAAAAAATCAATGACTGTTGGACGCGACGGTCTCGCGTGACACCGTGATGGAGACCTGTGGGATGTCCCCGTGGATGTCAACTGGGTGGAACTGGGATGTGAAGCCGGTTCCAACTACAGCGCGCGGACGCAGGGATAATCCACACGTGTCGCAGGCGTCTGACACAAACCTTTCTCTTCCCCGTGTCTGAAAAACACCGCGAAGCATCGGCTCTAGAATTCGTTCTTCACTATGCAAACAGAAAAAACCTTCAGCTGGTTACGAAGGGGGGTTGTGTACGCCTGGTTTCCTTGCTGTTTACTGTCAAACTGTTTAAAACAATTCTAGATGTTGCTACACTTTTTTCTCCGATAATGCTTTAAATCGTTGTGCTTTCGTGTTCTCCTCAGCTCGCCAGCGGAGCACCGGGGCAGTAAAAGACTTCAACGGTCGTTCTGGGTCTCAGCTGAAGCACCGTGGCTTCATCCGAATGTTTTAAAAAAGCGATGGAAGTTCCTGAAGGACTGTTGACTTGCATGTGTTAAAATGTGTGGGTAAAATGACATGCAGGCATCTGTCATGTTGTGGCTTCTGTTATTTGGAACAGAGTAAAATCCTGCTTGTGAAAAAAAAATGTCACAAACCAGAAATATGCCAACTGTGTACAAATAACGCGTACGTTTTAACAGCAATGAGGACTTTAACTGCAGGACAAAGGCCGAGGTTAAAACAGAATAAAACCAGGTTCTGACAGTGAAATACCTGCTTCTGAGAAGTTGTTGTGCTTGGAAACAAGCAGGATCCTACTGGTGCCTGTCCCAAATGGGTTACAGTTGTGTCTGGCTGGATGAAGTTTTGTAGGGGGGAAAAAAAAGGCAGAGGTGAGTATAATGACATATTTTTCATGTAGATAAGCAGCCAGTGGGGAGTGAGCATCCTCCACCACTACCCATCACTTGTCCCAACCCCTCTGATTCATAGAATCACAGAATGGTTTGGGTTGGAAGGGACCTTAAAGCCCATCCAATGCCACCCCCTGCCACGGGCAGGGACACCTCCCACTAGCCCAGGCTGCCCAAAGCCTTATCCAGCCTGGCCTTGAACCCCTCCAGGGATGGGGCATCCACAGCTTCTCTGAGCAACCTGGGACACTGCCTCACCACCCTCACAGGAAAACATTTCTTCCTGATATCTCATCTAAATCGACTCTACTTAAGCTTAA